GTATAAGAGAAGAAATGGAAGGACGGAAGAAAGAAAGAAAGAAAGAAAGAAAGAAAGAAAGAAAGAAAGAAAAGACAGAACAAATGAAGAGTAAAAATAATCCACTCTCTAGAAATTAAAAAAACTAATTACTAAAAATTACTAAGAGAGAGTATGGATCTGCGACTAATAAAAGGTTTTAAGAAAGAATCGATTTAATTCCAAACACCTTTCCCGTGGTATTTAGTATTGATAAGCGTAAGACAAAGAATAGGTTTAGTTCTAGAGCGATGTTATCGTATTCGGTACGAAAAATAATATTCAAGTTAAGGTTCCGAAATCCTCTTGAATATTTCACGATTTTTACCAATCACTTCTAACAAATCCATTTTTAGTTTTCGGTGACCTTTTACTGAAATTTCTTTAAGCCGAACTGAAATAAATAAAAACGTCTTAGTTATTGGGAAATGCACTTCTAGATTACTCGCCTCCTCTATTACTCAGAGACTTGAATTCATGAATAATACAAATTCATTAAAAGCATGAGTAGAGAGTGAAATGATCATTCGTGTTCGAGATATTTTGACCATCTTTGCACCACTCGTGAAAAGGGATGCTTTCTTTAGTGCATTCAGTAAAAACCCTTGCACAATTTGCTCAAAATTAACTCGGGTTTCTTGTATAAAAAATTTAATGAATTCCAGTTCCATTGCACCGAGATGGCAGTTTTAATCTGTCAAACGACATCCAATTATTCAATAACGATAACGTTAATAATTCAACCTGGCTTTTCTGTAGCGAGATTACCGAGTTTGTTTGAGTTAAATGCCTTTTGATACAGTGGATATTTCCTCTTACGACTTTAGCCCGAGGGAGTGCGAATTATTATTCTAGAACAAGTGTACTCTTTTAGAACTACAATATATGAGGTCATGAAAACAGAGGAAAATAACGAAAGTTTATCTTCATCATCTTGATACTATGACATTGTTTTGGAACACAAAATTATGAAGTTTTGGTGGAGTTTAATTTCAACTTGGTTGTTTATAGTCGATGCCTCCCTGCTATTAGCTTGGAGAAAGAAGGTTTTCAGAATAACACTTCAACCATCTGCTCTTGAATCTCATTGTATGATAATGAGTAATCCATTGAATAATTGATAAAACTGAATTTGAAGTCTTTCAGATGCGCAATGTTTCAAAATAGAAATAGAGTGGAAATCTTGGCTCTCAATAAATGAGTGAGATGAGAATGTTAGGGATAAGAGAAAGAAGAACTGGGAAACTATGAAAACGATAAAAAAGGAAATGAAATGAGGGTTATGAGAAGAAATGAAGAAAGTAAAAGAGAGAAAAGAAAACAAAAGAAAAGAAAATGAAAAAATGTAAAAGGGAGAAAATGTTGGGAAACAACTAAGTAAGAAATATCATAATCAAGAAAAATGGACGAAGAAATGAGAAGTTATTAAGATAACCCAATGACATTCGTTATTTTTTTAGTTTCATATTTATTCATTTTCTTTCACTAACACGTACTTATTAACACACACACACACGCCACCAACGCGACAAAACTGAAGCACGTTTCGAATCATTCATGTTCTTGAACAAGATTTTGTTTTTTGTGTGTGTGTGTGTGTTCACTAAATGAAATCTTTCCGTCATTCCATCGTCCAAAGCTAGCGTTATTATTATTTCATCCTATATATCCATAGTGTCTTGAATCAATTTTAACTCCATCCTCAATCTTGCTGTTTTGTTTTAAAATCTGGAAACGAAAATAAAGAAATAGTTAGACTGAAAATTATCAGCTGCATTCCTAAGTGGTTTAGATATGTTCGCTACAAGATGTGTTGGCTGGGGGACTCAGTTTCTAAGTATTTAGTTGATAAAAAAGGTGGTCGATATGAAATGTGGCCGCTAAGATGCAAGGTGGCTTCTATAGGTGATTCGGTTTCTAAAATATTGCGTTGATAAGAAAGGTGGTCGTTAAAAGAGGTGGTCGATATGAAATGTGGCCGCTAAGATGCAAGGTGTCTTGTATAGATGACTTAGTTTCTAAAATATTGAGTTCATAAGAAAGGTGGTCGTTAAAAGAGGTGGTCGATATGAAATGTGGCCGCTAAGATGCAAGGTGGCTTCTATAAGTGACTTAGTTTCTAAAATATTGAGTTCATAAGAAAGGTGGTCGTTAAAAGAGGTGGTCGATATGAAATGTGGCCGCTAAGATGCAAGGTGGCTTTTCTATAGATAACTTAATTAGTTTCTAAAATATTGCGTTGATAATTAAGAAAAGTGGTCGGTAAAAGAGATGGTGTGGTCGTAATGAAAGGTGTTTTAGAGAGGTGGTAACACGATTGAACTGGCCGCATTTGATAGTGAGGATAGGAAGGCAAAGTAGCCTCCACCCCACTCCCCCCCCCCCCCCCCCCCCCCGAAAAAAATGATTATC